CAGCCGCCACCAGCGAGCACATACATGTTACATGCTCGCGGAGGTATGCACTTTCCGTGAGTGCCCTCTGTCTAGTTACCTGATATTATTAGCTCTTGAATAATTATATAGGATTTAGATAGCTGCCATTTACAGCAATTGGACGAGTTCTCGTATTAATGTATAATGGGCTTAACTGTACGGCATTCGACGCAAGGCAAAGGTTTCAGATATGATACCATGAAACTCGGAACCTTCATGTAGTGTTCGATGCAGTATACATTTGCGAAACTGCCGTGAGTGTGTGCCGGCGTTTATGTAAAATGGCAATCCGAACGGATGAATGAGGGGCCTGCTATCCGATTACGCTGATACAATAATGAATATTCACACTTGCAAACTGATATCAACGCGCGAGTAGACATTGCCTGTCCGAGTCTGTCCATCTCTGCTATCACGCACGGGGATAACGATTTAGGGAAATCTTCTTGAGAGGCATTTCCTGAAGAGGCTTCGAAATTGAAAAGGATTAAAGTAAACGAACTGAACAGCGGCGTCGCAGGGTTTAGGGCGAACTCTTCCTGCGCATCTCGATGGGTCGATTTGCAAATTTCTAAGGCGTTTTCACGGTATTTAGGTTTTCAACTTTACGCCCGAGTGGCAACCTGTCACAATCGCTTTACGTAATCGCAGCCACGTGAGCCGCCCTTTGGTTCGCTTTCTCTCCGCGATGAACGTGCATGTATCATCTATTTACACGGGCAGGCCTGCATTGAGTATGGCACCGGTGAGAGTGTACGGGGACTTGCACCCGTGTGAGTGTGCGGGGACATGTATGTGTGTGTGTGGGGTGGGGTTGGGTCGGGGTGGTGGTGACTTGTATCTGTGTGAGTGTGGGGGGGGGGTGACTTGATGTATCTGTGTGAGTGTGTGGGGTGGGACTTGTACTTGTGTGAGTGTGTAGGGACTTGTATCTGTGTGTACGTGTGCGTGTGTGTGGGGGGGGGGGTTGATCTATGTGAGAGTGTGGGGGTGGGACCGTGGGACTTGTACTTGTGCGAGTGTGGGGGAGTTGTACCTGTGTAATGGTGTGAGGACTTGTATCTGTGTGAGTATGTGAAACGTGTACGTGGGGGCGACGTCTACTTGTATGAGTATGTAGATACTTGTATCTGTGTAAGTATGTAGCGACATTTACATCTGTGTAAGGGGTGGGGGTCTTTTCTCGGTGTGAGAGTACATGTGGTCTTGTACGTGAGTAAGAGTGTGGGGACTTGTATATATTATGAGAGTTTCCAATACATTGTAGCCTTTGTTGATTGCCATATTTTCAGATTTAATAGTAGTAGTCGTTCGTAGTAACGGCATTACGTTAATCCTACTTGCACTTCACTGCTAAAGTGATTACCTCACTGTAAATAGTAAACGTAAAGAAATTCTGTTCATTTTTAGCTCACCTTGACATCGTCAAGCTGAGCTATTGCCATGGGTCGTCGTCCGTCGTACGTACGTCCGTCCGTCCGTCCGTCCGTCCGTCCGTCAACATTTGGCTACGGTCAAACTCAGGAACCGTTCGACCCACATGTTTAAAATTGGGTATAGTTGTTACTGCTATGCTTCCATATTAAATGTCCTATTTTGGAGCACGCCAGTCGACGTACTTTCGAGCCACGGCAATTTTTTGGCAAACATGGGAAATTGCCATTAGTCAGTTCAGGTTCAACGGATTTTGCTCACTTTTGGTATGTGAATG